CCCCCACCATTATTTTCAATTTAAAAAAGAGAAAAAAATATAAATAACCAACTAAAACAAATTTTTAAAAATGTTTTTTCAACGGTAAGACATAACAATGACAACAACGAAACAAACAAAACAAAACTTACCCATTACACTGACGCCTGTGTCCTGGTGGTTCAGCAACTCCTTCTGCGCATGTTCCAACACCTATAGGATTGGAGGGAAAGAAAAGAAAACGTAAAGCTAATATGCAAGTTCCAGGGATCAAAGGGTCATATTCATACTTTTAGAATTAAATCTAAGTTAAGCTCTAATGACACCATCACCATCGTAATCGTTATAAAGTGCAAGATCTCAAACAGACATGGGTGAACATGGTTCTCCATTCATTTCACTGCCCGGATGCTCTTTAAAGAACAAAGAAAGAAAGAAAGAAAGAAAGAAAGAAAGAAAGAAAGAAAGAAAGAAAGAAAGACAGAAAGAAAGAAAGACAGAAAGAAAAGGAGCCTCAACATGTATCATGCCTGTGTCTACCAGTCACCCATCTGTTCAGGTTTCCTGATTTTGTTTCTCTGGGCCTGCCTCTGCCTCGTATGCCTTCTCATATTCCAATGAGGTTTTTTTGTTAAAGTTTTATGGCACTCGCAAGACAATAAGGTCACATAAGTGCCAAAGATTAGAGGTGTTACAAGAGAGTAATAAACACAAAAAAGGAGGGGAGATAAGGACGATAGATGTTTGATAGGAAAGAAGGAGCAAACCACACCAGAGCACCCGCCAACCACCCGCTTATATATTATATTCCAGTGAGAGCAGGAGAAAAACGCTCATAACCTTTCGATTCAAGTGTCCTTACAATTATTTTTTTAATGTGCTTTAATGCGCCCGTCGACACAATATTTAGATCGTTCAAGAAGCGAGCCCCTTCGACCCTGCTGTCAGGGCCAACTCAGTGTGTACGGGATACAGCATTCCAGCAGTAAGACCCGGGCTGAGAGGGATACAACATCCCACAGGGCTAACCCGGGCTGAGAGGGACACAACATACAAAGTCTCAATAGAAAGAACGCGACATTCGATACAAATTTCTCCCAATACTCGAGAATTGAAGCGCTCTATGACCTTATGCAGTTGCCAGCGCCGTAAAACCTCTACTAAAAAAAAACAACAACAACCGAGAATTGAACTTGGAACTCCTGTGTACCATTACAACTGACTAATAATAATAATAATAGATAGCATTTGTATAGCGCAAATCCCCGCTCAACAGCAGGCTCTATGCGCTTTACACTATATTATTACCCCAGCAGACCATAGAACACTCCGAAACATTCTCAGCTTCCCGGGAAGCATACAGTGCCAGCAGCTGATTAAGCGCTCAAACACTAACATACTGACAAGGTCTTTCGCTGTCTATAGCCGGGCACCCATTCCCACCTGGGTGAAGTGAGGAAAATTCGTGTAAAGTGCCTTTCCCAAGGACACAACGTCGGGCCCCTGACGGGATTCGAACCCACGACCTTACGGTTGCGAGTCCGAGAGCCTAACCACTAGGCCACCGACGCCACACACTAACGTCTAGCTGGCCGCTCCAACACCACACACGCCGGTTCAGTCACCAAGAAGAAGAAAGAAGAGGAGGAAGAGGAGGAAGAGGAGGAAGAGGAGGAAGAAGAAAGAAGAGGAGGAAGAAGAATCGTGAGGAGAAGTAAAGAAACCGAAACGGCAGACGCACTATTTTAAGTACTAAGTACCCTCCCCTGTTTCAGAAAGTCAGTGTTTTTACGGCACTTGCAACACAACAAGGTCATAATGTAAGTGCCGAAGAGTAGAGGTGTTACAAGAGAGTAACAAACACACACAAAAAAAGGAGGTGGGGAGAGAGAAGGACGATAGATGTTGGATAGGAAAGAAGGAGCAGGCGACACCAGAGCACCCGCCAACCACCCACAACCCATCTCTTGACTCGAGAGCGCAGATTTCCCATTTCGCACTTTTCGCTTGAGTGAGACGGGTTCAATGCCCTGAGACACACAATAACAAGTAGGTCACAGGTCAAAGGTCGTAGAGGGAGGCGGCGCACTTCACCAAATTCTCTCGGCTGGGCCTAGACAAGAATGTCTCCGGGAAGTCATATCCTCTCCTTTAGAATTAGTTGGGTTTTTTTTTTCAGTGCGAGTTTTACAGCACTTACAACACAAACAGGTCACATAACTGCCGAGCTATGATGAGGTATTATTAGCGAGTTGACGAATGATTGAATAGGCCTTGGAGTTTTACGGCACTATCGACTTGCATGAGACTCTAAGAGAGTAATTTCAGTAACCAATACAGACAAGAAGGAGAGAAGAGACCAAAAAACGACAGATAGGACAGAAAGAACACAAACCACTCCAGAGCACAAAAAAACCACTCACTTTCCCCTCCGCTGTTCCAAGTCACTGGGCAAAAATATACACGGTAGTGTAGAAGTTTTTCAAATCTAGGTTTCGATGCCCATTACAGCATTGGAAAAATATTTAAGAGGCGGATTCTTAAATTCAGAGTTCATTTCTGAAGAACTAAGACAAGACTTTTTTTTAAAAATTGAATTGCTTTTTTATCTTAATTCATTTTTAATTTTCGGGTTGTTTTTTT